ATATTATTTCAGCGATAATTAATTTCTCTCTAAAACATTATATCTTTTGACATGTGTATAACCAGTAGCTATCATATCAAAATTTAATTAAGGTCACGAACATACATGATAAAAACGTTCTAGTATGTTACCATGGAAATTATCCAAAATAACGCATATTGCGTTAGTGTAGCTAGTGCATTTTCAAGGATAGCATATTGAGGATGTGACGTCATATGAATATTTGATGCACCAAACATTGCATTTTATTCTGGATCAACCGTCACATTGTACCGAATTATTAACTGAACCATAAAATAACTACACTTATATTCCCAGTCTGCGTGGCTGTCGCTGTATTCAAGGTGCCGCCCTCAACGATATGGTTACCTCATTCATGGTTGTGTAACCGAAAGTTTGAGTAACGTATTTGAATTTTTAATAAAGAATTTAAAAAATAAAATTAATATTTGTCTGTTATGTTACTTGACGAGTATCAGTCATTTTCATCATAGTTTATTTGTAACATATCAAATTGGTTTACTACTTTCGACTTTATGATGCAAATTGTATCCTTGATTAAACATCGTGAAGGACCTCTATGACTAATAAGAAAGAACCTCTGTGACAAATAAGAAAGGACCTATGTGACTAATAAGAAAGGACCTATGTGACGAATAAGAAAGTCTATTTTGCTAGTAAGAATATGCCAATAAAGTCTAGTTATATAACACAAAAAATATATATATCATTTTTTATTTTTTTTTATAAAAATGACATCTGTTAAGCTGGAGAGGTTCTTGAACCGAGTTTATATAACACGCGCAAACGTGAGATTGTAGCGCCATCCAAGCAAAATATGTTAAAACAAGGACATTCGATGTTGAAAGTACTTAAGTTAAAATGTGTACATTGTCTCTGGCCAATTATATTACTCAGAGATGTTTGCTGATGTAAACATTCTTGAACCGAAATATTAATCGCTCTCTTGGCCCGTCTGAAACAATGTCAATCAAGAAGACATGCCATGGCAACTGAATAAAATTTAACATTATATGGAGAAGAATGTGTGACAGTTATTGGTAACAGTTATATAATTGAAATATATTCTGGTGAAATAAAAAATATTAGTACCCAATTACAATTGATCGCTATCAGATATTCTGACAATATTTTTTCGTAAATCATTGAAAAACTTTTAAAGTCATCTAAAGTCTTACGTAAAGACGATATGATGATATGCCAAGAATACTTCAAACATTCAATATTTGATGTATTAATTACTACATTCAGTCACGTGGTGTTAATTAAACCTGTTAGTTAAATTTAACGCATATATGATAAAATTTGATGAGTTTAAAGGCCGCAATTTTGTTCAATATAAAATTTAATTAAGCATTAGACAACTAAAAATTGGTGGTGCGTAAAGGGGCTTTGTGTCTACACCAAATACGCTACTGACTTTGGCTGAATAAAATACTAGTAGGTAGTCGTCGCACTGTGCACGTTCGATGTAATCGTATGGGTAAGATAAATACATCTTTTCAATAAATCGCGCCCACTGGCGACAAAGCACTTCAGTGACGTGAATAGGAATGGGGACACGAAAGTTCTTCACAGAGTCATGATCGTTTTGATCTGTAGTCGGGAAGATTAGATTTTGTCATATTACTGATAAGGTCCACGGTCGGTATACCATTGCCTAGATATTTGCAGCGATATTTGTGTTTTTTCAACAGTCACCGACATTTCTAGCATATACATATCACTCTCCCATGCCATCCAATTGAAACGCATGTAATTTGCCTGAAATAATTTTAACAGAATTTGTGGTATACTCAATTGATTAGAAGCTTCACTGGCACGGTAACCAAAGTTGTCCATTTATTTTAATATCAGAACAGGTGTAAACCAGGCTTTCAAAAGATTACATAAATATAAATGAGGGCGTTTTTGGCCGGTGTACATTGAACAACAATTTTTCAATCAAAAAATGAAACTTTATTGAAGTCATCTTCTATTTGGAGCACATTGAATATATACAAGTGTTTTATCTCGTCAGACATTGATTCATAGAGAAAAAAGGGCATTAGATGCTGCTACGGCTCTATTCATTGAATTGTCGATTACAACAACAATTCTGAGTTACCTATGTATAATCCACAGTATATGCTTATATTACCGGGTATTGGTACAGATGTGTTATGACACACGTAGACTAGACATACTAGAGTGACGCGACCTTGTAACAATCTAACAAGTTGTCACAGTCCCTATAGAGTGACTCATTAAGTGGCGATCATGAATGATTTCATCTTAGGAAGTTTGTTGATATGATTTAATTAGACACGCCATAGATTAATTGTTTATGACATTTACGTGTTACAACAGATAACTGTAATATGATTGACATGTTCAGCCGAAATGTACAAAGCCTTGTTTAGGTCTATATCCGGGGTATTCATCAGTGGAAAACGAAAAAACACACAATCACAATGGGTTGAACATTTTCCCCAAATGACTTCAATTCACAGCCATCTCACCGTTCCTGAATAGTTATGATAACTACCTTAATCATAACAAACTGGCGATGACACTCTTTCTTTGTCTGTTTGTTGTAACATCAAAGTCTGAATTCGATAGAATTCTAGATACACATTATTAATGTGTATATATGTGTAAGCATATATAGGGGGGCAGTTGATACATAGCTGGGTAGGGAAGTGCTCCAAAGTGTGACCATTTTTATACCTGGATAGTGGTAAAATCTATACCCATATTTATACCAAAGTACCATTTCTGTCATCACTGTTTCTCCAAATAAAACAGTTACCGTATTTGCTCTATTAGCATCTCCAATAGAAGCACATGTAAGCCAACAGTTGCATTATATATTGATTTATTAAAATATGTATTTTGACCATAGAAACACCTCTGTCAGTTCCATAAGAGCATATTTATTACCGATATTTATAGAAATAAGACCAGAAATAAGACCGATACTATCCCTATTAGCCAAGTCGAGTCTATGTTTCCGCTAGGAAACAGTAAACCCAATGACGCCAGCGAACAGTGAACGCGATGACGTTAGGGACACAGTGAACGCAATGACGTCAGGGAAACAGTGAACACGATGACGTCAAGGAAACGATGGACGCGATGACGTCAGGGGAACAGTGGACGCGATGACGTCAGGGGAAGAAAATGGTACGCTAATTGAGAGACAAAAAAGGAAAGTCTCATAGACTTCTCACTCGCAACGCGATCTCGGTGGCCATTAGCCTCCATGGTCTATTGCCAATTTATCAACTCAGAAAAGACGACCATCATAATAGTAGGAATATTGTAAAATAGATTGCAATAAATACTGTTTGTTAAAAGTCGCATTCCCACTTTGTATTATTTCCAGAATACATCCCATTGATTGTTGTGATTACCAGGAAAAATGATAAATATCAGTTGCCTTGGCAACAAATCCAGAAATATATGAACACGTTGAAGCTAGGAGGCACT